TAACCACCACACAATGACACTCCAATCACAGCTGTGACTCTCTGACAGCCACTTCTCCTTCAGCTGTTGCTACTGTCACTCCGTGTTTGTTTACCCTACACTGTGGCAATTGTTTTCTTCCTGCAGACTGTTTGCTGGTTTTCTTTGTGCAGTTATAACGTCTTGTTCCTTAATTTTTGTTTTTACCTACAAACATTCTGTTACTTTTCCTTCCGGTTGGTTTCTTGTTTCTTATAGTTAGGCTTATTGCACTTATTTCTCCTTCTTCTTCTCTTCCACCATTTACCTCAGTGAGGTGTTGGGGGGAGATGTAAGGTTCATTTGTGCACTTTTTCCAGTTCATTGTACAAGTTGGTGTTCATTTCTGTTCGGTTGCTCCTGATGGTGTCACTCCATCTCTTGTGTGGTCTTTCCTTTGCTCTGTGTTTATTATATTTTCCAGCATGGCTCTCTGTGGCAGATGGTACCAGGGTATTCTGATCAGGTGGCCAAACCATCTCATTTGTTGTTCTTTAATTAATTGTGTGACTGGCTTAGGCCCTAGTCTTCTTCTAATTTCTTCATTCCTGATTTTATCTCTTCTTGTCACACCTGCAGCCTTAGACATCTCATCTCTGTTGTTACAATCTACCGCTCATTACTTGTAGCTACACTTACTATACTTTTTATTATTACTGTTTGGAAGTTTAGATATAATTAGACCATATTCTAGTTATTGTGACAAAGAATTAGATATTGAAGATGAGTATTAATTCTATGGTTTGACATCATGGCATGGAAGATCATCTATGTCAGAGTTGATTGAGTGTACACCAGACAGAAGGTTGTGGATAGACATGACTACCAACCCAATACGGCATGGACTTTAAGAAGAAGACCAGGGTTGTTTATTTTCTGTGGTCTGTTACTTCTTGCTCTGTAGGATTTGTATCTTTCCCACCTAGTTGTGTACGTTATACTGATTGTTAATTGATAACAGATAGTGATTAATTGACTTAATGTTTAAAGGTGTGAGGATGGAATTCATGGCCCCAGGCTTTTTCCCTTATGGCTTGGTTTGTCACTACAAAACAGCTAGCCGCCAGCTGAGAGTATCACATGAAGCACGAACTCCAGATTAGTGAATGTACCCCCCATCCCCTATGGGCCCCTCGAAATCCACACATGGAAATGAAATGGACAGTTAGGATCATCATCATCATGTGCCATACTGATATGCATGAGCCGTCTTGATTTGCCATCTCATTCAGTTATTGAATCAGGTCTGTGTTCTTATTCTGATTACGCAAAATGGCTGAGTCATTATGATATTTATCTCCCAGTCTTCATCTTGCCATTCTCTCACCAGCTGTACCACAGACCAAGGCAGCCTTTAGGACCCACTGGAACAGTTCGCATCCAGGACACAATCCTGAAGACCCAGTCAGCCTCCTCACACAAAAGAAACTGACCGTCATGTTTAGATTGTGCCCAGACATAACAGACTCTTCAGCCATATGTTCCAGAAATTCAAGACTAGGGATTCAGAACTTTTTCCATGGGGACAGACCCCACAGAATACCAAACATGTGCTACAGGCATGTTCTCTACGTGCAGTAGAGAGATCGTAGTTTTGGCCAGTTGGCATTCCCATGGAAAACAATCTGTATGGAACAGTGGAAGACATGTGTCTCACCACTGACTTCATGGAGGCCTGTGGCCTTCTTCTCTGAAAACCACTGGCCAAGAGAATTGAAAGAGAAGAAGACTGAGGTTTGCCTTTCCTCATAACATGCCTAACAATTCTTGATGCTAATTCAAAATAATTAACTACTTGTGATGCACAAAGATGTCTGTTCTGAAACTGATAGTCTGAGAGACTAATGATTCTAGCGTGTCCTATTTGAAACTGAAAATTTAGAGAACAATGTTTTTGTTTTTTTTTTGTGTGTGGAATAATCAATATCATTTGATATTTACCTGGGATATCGCGGTAAATAAAACTTTCCTTTGCCTATATGTTCAATTATTTTTGTTTTAATAACCTGTTTGACTGATCTTGTGCTGAAAGTGTCTTTGTAAATCTGAATGCACCATTCAGTTTGTTAACACTCTCACCCAGCTTCTATATTCTTCTTCATCTTCATGTCCACCAGCTGTAAACTCCATCGGTAAATTCTGGTTATTTGTCCACTTCTTGTTCCAGATCCTGAGTGTTGCTTGCACATCCGTTTAACAGATCTGACTTTTTTTTCATGCAGACTGTTGGTTCCTTGCCTCTCAGGCAGATGCCCTCTGTCTTCGAAGGGGGCCCCAATTAGTCATTAGTCTTGTTAGAAAATTCTTCTGTGATGTAATTGTTAACTTTTTATATTGTTGTTATAGGTATCAATGGGCTATGCCTCCGACAGCAAAGTTTACAACATAGCTGGGCACTGGGATCCTTCAGAGAAGTGTTTTGCTATTCTTAATACAGAAACAGAGAAAGGTATGCATTGGTCCTTTCAATCATTGGTCGTTTTAATCATTGGTCGTTTCAATCATTGGTCGTTTCAATCATTGGTCGTTTCAATCATTGGTCGTTTCTATCATTGGTCATTTCAATCATTGGTCGTTTCAATCATTGGTCGTTCAATCATTGGTCGTTTCAATCATTGGTCGTTTCAATCATTGGTCGTTTCAATCAATGTCTCAGCCTTATATTTGGTTTTAATTTTGTGTGATACCCTAATAGAATGCCCTCATGTACAGACTTGCGATTACTTCGAAGGCCAGTCACAGAGATGAATGGAGTGAGTGATATCTACAGCAGTAAACCTCGTGCTAAGAATGCTGAATTAGAAGAACAAGGCTAAAAAAAAGCAATATTTATTTTTCTTTTATCTCTGGCATTATCTTTTTCTCCTTTCTCTTTCTTTTTTGTGTGTGTTTGTGTGTGTGTGTGTGAAAAAAAAGGGGGAAGTGATTTGTATTCATTGAACCGGGCTATTGCTTAGGCCCAACCTAAAATGGAAAAATATCAGTTCAGACCAGTAGCAGAACTAGTTAGGTTGACAATCTCACAATCACAAATGACAACATGAATGTTATGGCTAAAAAAGCCTTCATGAGCATTCAACAGAAACGGATAGTGATACTGTTGCCGCAAGCAAAATCACTTATCTAAAAGATAAGGGTCTGTCACAAAAAATATCCATAACAGGATTGACTGTCCATTCAACCTAAAGTAGATACAAGGAAACTTTGTAGGACATAAAAAGTGACCAGTGCAGTATTGACCATTTCACCTGTAGGGTGCCTCTTGGTCTAAAAATAAAATCGTATACTCTGTGCTTTAAAGCTGTTCATCTGGGTAATGATTCAGCATCACAGCATTCAGGAGAAGCTCATATCAGATAGGTCCCTTACCTCAACAACCAGCAAAGTCTCCATACTGATAGTACCCATTATCATCTGGTTAAAAGCTCGTCTTGCCATTCCCCTGAGTCTTGAGTGGTGCCCAGAGCCCGCAGACACCGCCTGCTACAACATTCTCTCCAGCTGATGCAGCAGGAAGTGACGAGGGGATCTGGCTGATACCCGACGCTCAGAGGAATAATAAATAATCAGAATGCTGCTTCATCATTGGTATTGGAACTCTTCGCTGGCTGCTGAATATGGGGATGGAGAGCTTGTGGAAATGCCCCAAGTGATGTCGGTTTTTTAATCAACTCAACTCAACTCAACTCTCACAGGTACGGGTTTTCAGTAGCTTCAGTTTTACTGGTTACCTCATCCCCCAGGTGAGAGATGACTTCTGTCTAGTGCAGTTGCACTACACCCCCAAGTGAGGTCTAGCCAGCCTATCTGCTTACTCATTCCCAAACACGCCTACATAGCCCGGGCAAAATATCCATGTGATTGTCACAGCCTGTGACCTCTGGATGAATGTAACCCATTCCATACAAAGAAAACCTGACTCAACTTTCTGGAGCATTCTTTGTGAATCCAATACTATGACAATATTTGAAGCTTAGATTTCCTCCACCCATCAGAATGCTGCAGTTGCCACCTCAACCTCCATTCTCATGCTGGATAGGGTAATGAAGCTCTCTTCTTCCCTCATGCTTTTGAATTAAGCCCCATCCACCCTTTCTGCACCTGGTCTCTGACCCATCAGTGTAATCACATCTCCTGGACTAAGTTTGACCTCTATCAACCGTTGAACCTCTGCATCTGCATGTCCCGCTGCCCATTTCCTGCATTCTCTCCCCAAGGTAATCACCGCTTTCTGCAGCTCTTCTCTGCTGCATGAAAGCTGTGAAAAGAAGTCCTTTTTTTTTTTTTAACTTCAAGAATTTTGTTTTCAGGATTCTTATTGCCTAGCTTACTTTTTTTTAACTTACTGTAAAAACTACATATGCTGCTTAGAGGTTGGTGTCTGATTCTAACACTTAATAACATATTTCCTGGCTTTTATGATCAACTATTGTTTGTGTGTTATGTCAATTTGGTAGATAGACGGCTTACTGTTTCTAATCGTGGCAAGTTTTTGCTTCTAACAATGGTTAACCTTTGCATTTTCCTCCTTATGTAGACTTAAAGAATGTAGTTCTGTCGCTCAGCTGCACTGTGAGCTGCAGATTTAATTTGGAATGATTTTGACTGTGCCTAACTTCTTTTGTATCAGGAACTGCAGATTCCGAACTGGCTGTGGCTTATGCAATTAATAGCTGAGCAACTACTGATCTGTTGTAACTGCTGCTTCCATCGACGATGGACTGTGTGTCTATTGCCAGACTGTTTGTGTTGGCAATTCTGATAACTGCCTTACACATTTAATGTGTGAGTAAACTGTTGGCTTTGCAAAGACTGCAGTCTGTGCCAATTGTTTTTTTTTTTTAAACAAGCAACAATGATGGACATTCTGTGCGATTTTTGTTGTTACAGGAAGGGAGCAATTGTGGGGACAGCCATTTGCTGTGAAATTGGCTCTACAATTACCTGTTTAAAGCTTTTATGTTAATCTATTTTGTTTGCAGATACTTGTGTATTCTTGACTGTCGCCGTGGACCTAGTGTTGTTTGGTATCCAGGAACCTGTGAGGTTTGTGCTGGAGACTAAAGCGAAAATATTTCCCAGCTCTGAGAGGTTTTGGTACCTGAGTCGAAAGGGCTATCTGGAGCAGTTCCATGTGAAGCTAAAACAGGTATGGAAGCTTGGGTATGTTGCTGAGCAAAAACTTCTTTGTCTGTATTCACTTTTAAAAGGGTGGCTGGAACATTGCGTTGTGGTTTTCAGCTGGTTTGCAATATCAGTACCTTTTGACCCAACACATCCGATCTCAGCAAACCGTTAATTATTCGCCTTTTATTACCTGCCTTGGAATGCCTAGGGGGGAAAGGGGCCCATAACCCAGGATTTTTGAGAAAAATTTGGCAAAAATGGCTGTTTCATATAACGCGTTTAAAAGAACATATCCTTATAAACTCTCTGCAGCTCTACCCCAAGAAACTGACGAAAAAGAAGGAGGAGAGTTTAGCTGTCTTGATCTTGTATAAATCCAGGGGGTTACACCCTGTGAGCACCAAGCAGACAGGCAACTGTACCAGCCATATTGTGGCTCCTAAGTCTCTGTTTGTTGACTTTTATTAACTAGACATATATGAATGAAAGTAATCAGTGAACCACAAATCGAACAGGGATTTAAATCTCAAAAAAATCTTGATTGCGAAACCAACCAGGAGTTATTTATTGCGAAACCATTCAAAAGATATTTATTGCCAGCTGTGCAGTAGATATTGATTGCTGAAATGTCCAAAATATTTTGATTGCCAGATTGTTTAAAAGATAGTATTTGCCAAATTGTCCAAAAGATTTTTATTACTAAAATGTCCAGAAGGTATTGGTTGCCAAATTGTCCGAAAGATATTTATTACTAAGATGTCCAAAAGATATTGATTACTGAAATGTCAAAAATATATTGCTTGCCAAATTATCAGAAGAGTATTGTTTGCCAGATTGTCCAGACGATATTAACAAACAGAAAAAAAACATTTCTACAATGTTGAAAATATGCCGCATACTTATGTGTCCAAAAAAATTAGCAAGGCTAAACTAAATCTGCTTTTATGGCAAAAGAGGTATAGGAGTTTGTTTGTTTTTTTAAATCAGTACACTTTTAGAAGCAGATTCCTATTGCTAAATTATAAACTGAAAATTGTATTCAGTTTTGAAGATAATTTTTTTTTATTCAGGTTGAGAGTAACGAGGACGGCAAATGTTACGAGGTCCTGAAAGTGGAAAGTCAGACAGAGATCAAGCGACGGACTCACAATATGACTCTCAATCTGAGTGGATCAGCTCGTGCTCCTCCAGATGTGGTGAAAACCCCTCAAGAAGAGGATTCAGGTCAGTTGTGCAGAAACATAAAACATACAGTAAGTCAGGGATCATTTTCAGACCAGTGGCACATTGGGCATATTTGTGTGGACTCAACCGGTGTTGTGGTCGACATCAAGCTGGCGACCTCCATTTCCCAGGTCCTTACCTGGTACCAGTTTAAACCTGGGAGCCAAGGTAAATGTTTTTTCTTTTTAAATCGGACTCGATGCAGAATCGAACCCAAAGGTTTTAGGTCATCACACGGGCGTCTAGCTTTTATGCTGCCACAACTCTTATAGCATTTACAGCATGCTACAGAAATAATATCAGCATTTGTAATAGTAAGTATTGTTGTTTATTGTACTCCCTGTGTGAGTTCTGGTGCCCCAGACCCTCTGCCTCCCCAACAAGCATGTCCTAAGAGTCGGCTAATTAGGGGTTTCCTCCAAAGTCGGATTGTGCATCTGCCTGAGATCTAAGGAACCAACAGTCTGCATACAAATAAGTCAAATCTGTAAAATGGATGTGCACTTAATACTGAGGTTCTGGAACAAGTCTAAAGTCGAGAGGTGGATGAAAAACCAGAAATTTCTGTCAGAGTTTACAGTCGGTAAACTTGAAGAAGAAGTAGTAGTTTTTTGTTTTTTTACAATAGTCTACTTACCGGTGGGAGTCGCCGTGGCCAAGCGGCTAGACGCTCGCCGTGGATTGGAAGGTTATGGGTTCACTTCCTGGCAGAGCCTGACTTTTTTTTAAAATGACCTTGACTGCCAGGTCGGCCCAGCCTTGAGTGGGTACCGGGTGCAGTCCCAGGAAGTAAGGGCGGCCAGCGTGATGCTGACCACATCACCCATCTTGTTCCGATTGGTCTATAAAAATATAGGTCTAGCCCTATATGCCCTATATGCCTAAAGGCGAAGAAAAGGGTCCTATACCTTTACCTTTACCTACTTACCAATACCCAGTTCAGTCTCAGCTGAAGGTAGTTTGGCAGCAGATCCCTTTTGCTTTGATTTTACCAGTATTATTGAGAGCCGACCTTTCATCGAGCAGTGGTAGACTATTGAACATAAAATTGCCTAGTGTGACCACCGGCAGTCAATAAATACTGGGGTTGATTTGCAGCGTCCTCTAGAGCAATGTTCTTCAACATGTGCATTTGGATTGGACAAATCTTCAAGATTCACACCTCAAGAGTATGAGAATCAAAAGATGTTGTGTCTGCTGATAATTGTAACTTTGTGACGTCAGATTGAACTAATAAACTGCTATGTACATTTGTCTTTGTGACTGATTAGCTATCAGGTGTGCTGCCATACAGTTTTACCTGATTTGGAGGGCTGCGGGTGTAAAAGATGATAAGGAAAACTGCTCTAAAGGATTTACAACTTAATTGAAGTAAGAAGTCAGTAACTTGCAAAGGGATTTTGTGTGTGTGTGTGTGTGTGTGTAGTAAATAACATATGGTAAAAACAGTCTCTAGCAGAGAGATATCTGAAGAAAGAGGACACAAACAATAGACGGAACAATTTATTGCCTGGCATATCTGACTTCAAAGAAAATCTTTAATTAGTTAACTGTTATGACATGCTTGTTACTGTAGTTCCCTTACTACACAGATTTGGACGAACCTCTTCTCAGTGGATCTGGCATTGTCAGCAAGGAGGTCACCGATGAGAATCACCTGGAGGCCTGGGCAGAGGCATTGACACGCTGGCACCAGAACCTCTCCACCAGACCACGACAGATGACACAGTTGGTGCGCAAGTCAATCCCCGAGGCTCTGCGGGGCGAGGTCTGGCTACTGCTGGCTGGCTGCCATGATAACCAGAACTTGTTGGAGTCCTATAGGGTGTTGATCACAAAGGTAATGCTGTTAAGGTCTGTCAAGTCCCCTTGTAATCTCCCCCTCACCCGTAACACTCAGTTACCCTTATAGCCCTCCGGGTCTACACACAGCCGTCTCAGTTACCCTTATAGCCCTGCGGGTCTACACACAACCCGTCTCAGTTACCCTTATAGCCCTGCGGGTCTACACACAGACCGTCTCAGTTACCCTTATAGCCCTGTGGGTCTACACACAGCCCATCTCAGTTACCCTTATAGCCCTGCAGGTCTACACACAACCCGTCTCAGTTACCCTTATAGCCCTGCGGGTCTACACACAGCCCATCTCAGTTACCCTTATAGCCCTGCAGGTCTACACACAGCCCATCTCAGTTACCCTTATAGCCCTGCGGGTCTACACACAACCCGTCTCAGTTACCCTTATAGCCCTGCGGGTCTACACACAACCCGTCTCAGTTACCCTTATAGCCCTGCGGGTCTACACACAGCCCGTCTCAGTTACCCTTATAGCCCTGCAGGTCTACACACAGCTAGTCTCAGTTACCCTTATAGCCCTGCGGGTCTACACACAACCCGTCTCAGTTACCCTTATAGCCCTGTGGGTCTACACACAGCCCATCTCAGTTACCCTTATAGCTCTGCAGGTCTACACACAGTCCGTCTCAGTTACCCTTATAGCCCTGCGGGTCTACACACAGTCCGTCTCAGTTACCCTTATAGCCCTGCGGGTCTACACACAGCCCGTCTCAGTTACCCTTATAGCCCTGCAGGTCTACACACAGCCCATCTCAGTTACCCTTATAGCCCTGCGGGTCTACACACAGCCCGTCTCAGTTACCCTTATAGCCCTGCGGGTCTACACGCAGCCCGTCTCAGTTACCCTTATAGCCCTGCAGGTCTACACGCAGCCCGTCTCAGTTACCCTAATAGCCCTGCAGGTCTACACACAACCCATCTGACCAGTAATTGACCTGTCTGCTGTTATGAGTCAGAGTCTAGTCGTCATTTGTCTTTCTCTAACAGTGTGGTAAAGTTGACTCATGACACTGTCATTTTTACTTTTCAGCTGATTGCTGAAATGACATGTGCTACTTATCAGCTGAACGCTATATGAAGTGTGCTGCTTAAGCAGAATTTAGCTAGGGATATATAAATGTTAGTGATTTATTCTTTTTCTTTTCACCCTCTGCTTCTTCTTCTTCATTTGCCGTTAAAAGAGTAGTTAGTTGGCATAGTGTGTTATGGTTACAGCTAGGCTGCAATTTCTGCGCCTTTCAGTCCAACACATCTGATCTCAGCATACCCCTAATTGGTGGCCTTTTATGACATGCTTGGTAAGGGGCACCAAAGAGTTATTATTTTATTTCATCAGGCTCAAACAATTATTAGTTTAATTAGTAATTTTGTAAAAGAGAAGGGCTTAAATTAACAGCTTCTTAGTATTGGAAGAGTTAATTATTAACTCTTTCACCACTAATCACTTCACCATGTGTTTACTGTTTAGTTGTTACGTGACAGTTTTTTTCCCTAAACACTTTGTTCCTTATGTAGCTGTTATAGTAACATATGCTGTCGCAATTATTAGTTAAACACTTGTGTCCATTAATGTTGTTATTTCCTCCTCTTCTTGTTCATGTTTACCTGCGGTTAACTCCGACGGAACGTTCTGGTTGTTTTTCCGCTTCTAAGCCCTGTTCCTGGCGCGCACCAACACTTGTGGTTTCCATGTTGTTGAAATGTCTCTGGATCTGACAATTGAAGCCTCCCTGCCTGATTCAGACTTCAGGTTATTTCAGAACTGCAGAGGGCCCTAGTATAACCTCACGGTTGAATGGTGCTTATCAGTGCTTCTCATCCTTGGAGTGGTAATATTGCTGACTGCAGTCCTGGCGAGGACAAACTGCAGTGCAAAACTATTTGTTAATGTGGGTAACAAATATTTATTAATCAGTGAGTTAACCTGATACCTGACTTGTACTGAAAAGGCTAACTTTTTTACCATATTTATTTTTTAGATTTACCTATTGTTTGAAGTCAAGAGAATCACTTTTCTTCTCCTTCTTCTTCTTCTTCTGCTGCTGCTTCTGCTTCTTCTTCCTCTTCCTCATCCTCATTCTCATCCTCATCCTAATCCTTTTTCTGGCAGTGACCGGCTATAAATTCTGGTGAAAAGTTCTGGTTAATCGTTCATTTCTGCATTTAAATCTGGTTCCAGAACTTGAGTTAAGTGTGAACACCCGTTTTACGGATCTGGCTTATTTGTTTGCAGACTGTTGGTTCCTTGCCTCTCAGGCAAAAGCACTCTGACTTGGAAGGAAACACCCCTGATTATTCGATCTTATGACATGCTTGTTAGGGGGTAGTGGGGTCTATTCTTTGCTCCCCCACCCCACAGTGAGGCCCCTGAACCCACACTGGAAATCTTTATCCCATTTGACTCCATCAATCTCCACACAGTGATTGTTTATTGTGTTTCTTTCCTCTACCAGGATTCACCTTCTGATGCAGTGATACAAAGAGACATCAACCGAACGTTCCCCGCCCATGATTTCTTCAAAGATGCTGGAGGACAGGGCCAGGATTCGTTATATAGGATTAGTAAGGTAATGCTTTATATGTAGATCACATTTTTGCTTATGTGGATGTCTCACAAGAAAGAGAAGTATAGGGAGGCCATGAGAGATGATGTTAGGCTGTTTAGCATGAGAAAACATCCATATCAGAAATAATTGACAGTTGATGATACATAAAAAGGTAAAGGTAATGTCAGGAGATGTCAACCAGCCTCACTGTACACGGTTATAAGCCATACGTGCTCTGCCACCAGTACGGGCAGCTGATAAGAAACTGTCTGCCTGTGTCGCCGTCTGCACGCAACTCCATAGCTACAGCGACGTTCCTCCATTTACCCCAGAGTGTTACCTCTGGTACCAATATCCTAGAGGCTGGGTGAACCTAGGGATTATGATACATAAGTTTGTGGACATAAGAAGAGGAAATTATAAAACTGCATTCGTGGAAAGGTGGTTCTGCCCTGGGCCTTGGTGATAGTAAGAGAAAAGATGTGATGACTTTCAGAGTACCACTCTAGAAGCTGTTGATCCATCCTCCTGCTTTATTTGTACATTTAGGGTACCAATTCTAGGTTTTGTTTGTACATTTAGGGTACCAATTCTAGGTTTTGTTTGTACATTTAGGGTACCAATTCTAGGTTTTGTTTGTACATTTAGGGTACCAATCCTAGGTTTTGTTTGTACATTTAGGGTACCAATTCTAGGTTTTGTTTGTACATTTAGGGTACCAATTCTAGGTTTTGTTTGTACATTTAGGGTACCAATTCTAGGTTTTGTTTGTACATTTAGGGTACCAATTCTAGGTTTTGTTTGTCGGTGTGTTTTGTTTTTGTTTTCTTTACATCATTAAAGTATAGGGTTCAGCTACCTGACTGTTGCGAATCTGTTCTGTTCCAGTATGGCAGATAGGCCGGCTTACAGGTTTTTCATGACGAGTTTTTGCGTTTGAGAGGAGTTTGATGTATTTTTCCCACTTTGTGAACTGAAAGTATATAGTTCCATCACCCAGCTACTAAGTTGAGTCTTGTCGAGGTTTCAATTTCACTGCAATTGGGTCACCCCATATTTGCTCCATTCTGAGATGAGTGCATCTTGTGACACTGTGAGCTACAGATTTTGTTTAGAATGCTTTTCACCTGTGCCCAGTGTGGTTTGTGTTGTGAACTGCAAATTCAGAAAATGGCGAGCGCCCCCCCCCCCACAGAACTGGTGTTGCCTTGTATGATTAATTGCATGTGCAAATACTGATTTGTTGTAACTGATTCATCTATTGATAGTGAACTGCATTTCTAGTTGCAGACTGTATTGGCACATCTACCTTATTTATTTAGTGCGTGTGTATGCTGTTGGCTTTGCCGAGACTGCAATCTGTGTCAGTTATTTCAGAAAGAAAAGTAGTCGATGGGCATTTTTCCTTGGCACAGGAAGGGGGCAGCCTGTGGGGCTGACTTGTTTGCTGGGAAGTTGCAACTGGGATCACCTGATACCGTCACTTATGAATCCAGCCTCTGCTTTTCAGTTTCTATGACAGTTTGCTCTTGGCACCCTTTTCTTTTAAACAGGAGTATATAGTGTGTGAGGAACCACTCAGAACATAGGAATAGCTGAGCAGGTCAGTAAATGTCTGCAGAAGTCCGCTGTGTCAGCCCGAAAGGTTCAAATATCGCAGCCATGCTGTAAACGGAGACAATGCAATTACATCTTTGGACAAACGCAGAAGAAGAAAGAATAGCACACGCAAATTTCTTCTTAGCGTCCACCAGCTGTACACTCTGTTAGAATGTTCTGGTTGTTCACCAGCTGTACACTCTGTTAGAATGTTCTGGTTGTTCACCAGCTGTACACTCTGTTAGAATGTTCTGGTTGTTCGCCAGCTGTACACTCTGTTAGAATGTTCTGGTTGTTCACCAGCTGTACACTCTGTTAGAATGTTCTGGTTGTTCACCAGCTGTACACTCTGTTAGAATGTTCTGGTTGTCCACCAGCTGTACACTCTGTTAGAATGTTCTGGTTGTTCACCAGCTGTACACTCTGTTAGAGTGTTCTGGTTGTCCACCAGCTGTACACTCTGTTAAAATGTTCTGGTTGTTCACCAGCTGTACACTCTGTTAGAATGTTCTGGTTGTTCGCCAGCTGTACACTCTGTTAGAATGTTCTGGTTGTTCGCCAGCGTTTGGATTTTGATCTTGTTCCAGAACAGGTGTTCTTGTTCCAAAAGGTGTGCATGCACATCTGTTTAACGCATCCATGTTTGTTTGCAGACTGTTGGTTCCTCACCTCTCAGATAGATACACTCTGACTTTGAAGGAAACACCTGACCTTTTACGACTAACATGGGGGAGGGGGGGGGGGGGGTCTGTCCTTTTACTCAGACCCCCTGTCCCTCTACCCTATAGAGCTTTACCTGGTACCCATTTCAGTCTAGTCAATCTGGCAACCAAGATCGTTTTTAGAAAAAATCTGACTCAGCGCATAGTTAGGTCCCAAGACTTTTGGGCCTGAGGCAAAAGTCTAGCCGCTACACTTCAAAACTTTTTTTTAAATGACCTGTACTTCCAGATCGGCCCAGCCTCAAATGAGTATGAGGTGAAGTAAAGGGGAGCTGGTGTGATGTCAGCTACATCACCCTTTGGGTGCCAGTTGGTGTATAAAATATAGGTCTAGCACCATATGACCAGGTGTGGAAACGGGTCCTTTATGTCTTGTTCAACTTTTCTGGATTATAATAGGAATGTTAACCGTATGTGTCGATTCCTCCCCACCAAATTTATGGTTGACACATTCCGTTTCTGGGGACAGCTTTTATCGAGTTTGCTCTCTAGACAGTTGCAGTCCCCTGCTGATGAGATTCTGTCTTCCCGAGTGGACCGCCGCGATCAAAACATTGCGAAGGCAGCGTGGCCGAGGCTGCCAAAACTATCGGTCATTATCCCGCCCCGACACAGCACAACCACAATACACGCTGTTCCCACGAAAAACACATAATATCCTGCGTTTGAAATGCGCATAAAATAACAGTCCATGTTTATGAAACAGAATAATCCGAGAGAATTGACAGCCAGCGAAAATAAACACAGCTGCTGTCCGCCATTTTGAAAACGGAAGTCCTAATAGGAATTTGACGTTATATTTGTGCTAGTTAATATAGTGTAAGTTACACAATACAGCTTTTCTGCTTGTTTACTGACACAACTTTTTATGTGGTAAATTTCAAACAAACATGTTTAACTGAAGTCTTGTCATTTTCAGGCCTACTCTGTCTTTGATGAAGAAATTGGCTATGTCCAGGGTTTGTCCTTTTTGGCTGCTGCTCTTCTGTTGCACGTATGTACATTTTATTGCACTTGATAAATGTTTGTATTTTAATCAGGCCCTTCAAACCTGATATTTATTATTGGAGTTGATAATACTTAAATAATTTTTGTTTTATTAATCTTATTCTTTTTCTTCTTGTTCGCCAGCTGTAAACTCAGGCAAAAAGTTCTGGGTGTTCATCAACTTCTGGACTTAAGTCCTGTTCCATAACCTGAGTGTTGCATGTGTATCCCTTTTACAGATCAGGCAGATGCACTCTGACTTTGAAGGAAGCTCCCAATCAGTCGACTCTTATGACATGCTTTTGGGTAGACTGCGGGACTGTTCTTGTTCTCCCCACAACGAGGCCCTGGAAACTCACACGGAAGGAAGAAATAATAATTAGACCAATTAATACAGTGCATAAAGAAAGAAAATACTGAAGATCCTTACGTCATCTCTAATGCTTCTTTAAACTAACTTGAGGAATACGGGAGGAAAGACACTAGAAAAAGTGCATTATAATTTCATTGTCAAGTTTTTCCTATTGTGTTTGCTATCTAACATAGGCACCTTTTTTCTCACCTCTTATTTCTTTAAAATAAGTCTCTCTCCCTAATCTCTGTATAGTGATTCTACCATTTCCCTTTAACCCTATTTTACAAAGATACCATGTGTCCTAATAGTGTGTAAACAAGCTTACTTTAGTTGTGTGTTTTTCCCCCCTGTCTCTAGATGCCTGAAGAGCAAGCCTTTTGTGTGCTGGTAAAGATCATGTATGATTACCAGCTGCGAGACTTGTTTAAGCAAGGCTTCCAGGAGTTGCACCTCAAGTTCTACCAGCTGGAGAGACTGATGCAGGTAAGTATTGCCTGAGAGCATACAAGGGCCCTTTTCCACACCTTCAAGCATATTCAGCATATATTAAAAGGACCCTTTTCCATGCCATAGGGCTTATAGGGCTAGACCTGTGTTTTACAGACAAATCTACACTTGGTAGGTGATATGGTCAACATCACACTGGCGCACCTTTACTTCCTGGGACATTTCCTGCTACCCATTCAAGGCTTGGTCAGCCTGGGAGCCAAAGTTTTTTTTTTTTTAAGTCCGGCTCTTTTTTTATTTGACCCACAACCTTTGGATCTACTGGCGATCGTTTGTCCGCTACACAGCAGCAGCAGCACCCCCCCCCCCCCCACCACTGGTTAACAGATTAGCACTGGCAATTATGCACTACTTTCTTTCACTATCAGCAGTTTTGCATCAGGTCTGTATTCTTGTATTGGTTGTGCCAAGTGGCCAAGCCATTAACATTTGTATCTCTCCGATTTCCTCCTTCATATTTCTCATCACATCTTCCAACCAATTGTCATTGATTGATTACAAATTATTTCTCTTAATAATTGGCTCCACAAAAATAATGACTGCCTACATCAGTCTCTCTAATGCCCTGTGTGGATTCCAGGGCCATATTATAGGGAAAACAAGAATAAACCTACTGCCTACCCAAAAGCGCGTTGTAAGAGTCGACTAATTGGGAGCTTCCTTGGAAGTCGGAGTGCATCTGCCTGAGAGGCAAGGAACCAGCAGTCTGCATACAAATGAGTCAGATCTGTAAAACTGATGCACACGCAACACTCAGGTTCTGGAACAGGACTGCAGTCCAAAAGTGGATAAACAACCACAACTTTCTTCCAGAGTTTACAGCTGGTGAACGCGAAGAAGAAGAAGAATCTCTCTAATAACTACTGTATGATACAGTGGATACACTCAAGGCTCTGTAATCAAGTGGACAGTGCAGCAGAACAGACTGAGGATCCGAACCTCAACCTGAGGAGGCTGATTGTGCTAGGAGTTAGCAGAGGGTCTGAATGATATCCAAAGCTCAGGGGAAAAGAAAGGCGTACTTTTAATCAAGTTTCGACTGGCACTGTCGGTGTGGGAAATCTTCACTTCTACTTAGGAAGGCAACATTATGTTATAGTGCCTATTCTGTATATATTCAGTCACAAAATGTGTATCTATTTTGTCCTCTTCTGTCTGTCTATATTAATTCTTTATTTGGAGAATCAGATTGGTTTGTTTCCAAGTCTACGATACTCCACACTTGTTCTCTCAGTCTTTATATATTTTCAAAAAAGGTGTGAGGATCAACTTCATCGCACTGGGTATTATACTATATGGCTCAGTCTCTCTCTGCCTAACAGCTACCTGACCACCGACAGTGTTGCACACAACACTGACTCCCTGCCTTTGGTGACAATCTCTAAAATTGCACTTGTGAACTGATGGCGCAGCCGTGAAATGAACCCTTGATCTTCATAGTTGCCACAGAGACCCCAAAACTTGAGAATTGAATGGAGCTGATGTTGCTTGATTTACTAAATGTTGCCTGGTTGTATAAGCAGGCAAGTTGAGGTCAACATTTGGAGACTTCACATCTTTTCCATGGCAACTTATGGATGTGAGCCACGGACCTTTACTCAGATTGTTAAGAAAAGAAAATCAGAGCTTTTGAATTGAAAAGCTACAGAGAAATTCCTCAGAATACCATGAACCAAGAAGAAGAAAAAACACTGATATTCTACATTATCTAAGCAATAATTAAAACTGGCTCATCAACAGAACCCTGGTACAGAGGCATGGTTTTTTTTTTTTGGAGGGGTGGGGTGGGTGGGGCTTCTTCAGCGCCATAGTGGCCCCCTGGAGAGAATTTTGATGGATGGGTGCAGTTTCCAGAATATGAGGCAGAGGCAGACCTCTGCAAAGTTGGATACAAGACATTGAAGATGCACTGGCTGTGAGAGTACATAGGGCTGGAGACTTGGCTAGAGAAAGAAAGAGACTTCCAGGCGGGCCGTGACTAGAGCAAGGTTTTTGTAAAGGACCTGCTGAGTGATGATGATGATGATAGTGGTGATGATATCTCTCTTTGCTGTAGCTGCACTAAAGTCCAAACGCAGACACACTTAAATGTGTTCACTTGTCTGTTTCTACGCGCTTCGTTTAGGACCAGCTGCCAGATCTGTACGATCACTTTGCAGAGATGGGTCTAGAGGTGCACATGTTTGCTTCCCAGTGGTTCCTGACTCTGTTCACGGCCAAGTTTCCCCTGCACATGGTCTTTGGCATCTTGGATTTGTTTCTCAGTGAGGTGGGTATGTAGCTTGTCTTGTGCCAGGGTATGCATTTTGTGGGTGGGTTTGTAGCTTGTCTTGTGCCAGGGTATGCATTTTGTGGGTGGGTTTGTAGCTTGTCTTGTGCCAGGGTATGCATTTTGTGCATTTATTATGTTGGTGGGTGGGTTTGTAGCTTGTCTTGTGCCAGGGTATGCATTTTGTGGGTGGGTTTGTAGCTTGTCTTGTGCCAGGGTATGCATTTTGTGCATTTATTATGTTGGTGGGTGGGTATGTAGCTTGTCTTGTGCCAGGGTATGCATTTTGTGCATTTATTATGTTGGTGGGTGGGTTTGTAGCTTGTCTTGTGCCAGGGTATGCATTTTGTGGGTGGGTTTGTAGCTTGTCTTGTGCCAGGGTATGCATTTTGTGCATTTATTATGTTGGTGGGTGGTTTTGTAGCTTGTCTTGTACCAGGGTATGCATTTTGTGGGTGGGCTGTGCATTTATTATGTGGGTGTGTGTGTTTATTTGTTGTTTGCATTGGTGTGTTTGTGTTGTGTATAAGTGCATTCAGTGTATGTGTGCGTGCAATACATACATACATATGTTGATGATACATACAGTTGATGTCTGTGTTGATGTATTAATTTCTGTTGTTTGTGCTGTATTAGCTTTCCTTGTTTGCTTTGGTCAAATGTAATTTTTGTTTGTTGTGTTATTTATTTCTAAGTGATATATATTTGTGTTCAAAAACTATTTCATATAAGTTGTTTTTTTTTCTTTTTTTCTTTTTACAAAACTGAAAATGTATTTGCTGTTTTTCATTTGTTCAAGTACAACATGAAAATTGTTTACATAATTTGATTGGTCAGATTTCGATTTTAGTGTACTGTGATTGGCTAATCTCAGCATAATTTTATTGGCTAGATTTTGATTTTAGTGAATTGTGGTTGGCTAATCTCAGCATAATTTGATTGGGTAGATTTATTATTGTTTGACCAGCCAGGTTTTTAATGTTATAATCTTAGCCAAATTCGTTGCTGTTTACTTTATTGACCTTTCTTATTTTACAAAATTTGTTTGTGTATGAAAGAAAAGGACCTTTTTTGTAAAATGAATGTGCATGCAAATGTCAAATTCTAAAAGAGGACTCAAATGCAGGAGTGAATGAACAGCTAGAGCTTTCCGTCAGTTTACAATCGGTGAATGCAAAAAAAAAAAAAACATTGCAGCAAACCTTTATAGAGGAGACAGCAAACATTTTTTCTTTAATTACATAAAGTAAAAAATAGAATGTGTTTTGTATTTTGTTCATTATTATTTTTTTTTTCAAATAATAATTTTACTTATTAAACTACTTTTTTTTTATTTCAAACAGGGGCATCTAATCATATTCTGTGTGGCTTTAGCTCTACTCAAGGTAAGTTATATGGCTAACATCCCTGTTCATCTTATCATCATCTTCTCTTCTTCCTCCTAGTGTACACTGTCTGTAAACACATATGGAAATTTGTGTGGAAAATATTATGGAAAAATAAAATTGCAGAATGAGAGACTCGGCATAGCCAAAAGCGAGAAACGCACCGGGCATTCAAAAAGACTTATCAGTCAACAAAAAACTGGCACTATTAGTTGCGGGTCGCTGGGGTTCATATTGAGGGAAAGATCTGAGCACCTGTGGACATGTCCGGAGTGCAATGATCATATCCTAGCTAACTTACTTACTAACTAACTAACTTATGGAATCTTCTGGTAGTTGTCCATTTCTACTCTTTGGCCCTGATCTAGCACCTGTGGACTTGTCTGGAGTGCAATGATCATATCCTAACTAACTTACTTACTAACTAACTAACTTATGGAATCTTCTGGTAGTTGTCCATTTCTACTCTTTGGCCATGATCTAGAACTTGAGTTTTTGCATGCACGTCCGTTTTACAGATCTGGCTTATCTGTATGCTGACTGTTGGTTCCTCGCCTGTCAGGCTGATGCAGTTTGACTTTGAAGGAAACACCTCTAATTAGTAGACTCTTACACTGTGCTTGTTAGGGGGGGAGGGGACGCCTGTTTTTAGTTCTCCCAAAATAGGTCTCTGGAACCTACATGTGTATTATCATCATCTTATTGTACTCTCTGGAAATTCCTACACCACATCTAGAGGAGTGGTTACAATGTCGGGCTCTGATGCGGGAGACAACCCAGGTTGAACCCCCCCCCCCCCCCCCCCCTCCCCCCCCCCCCCCCCCCCCCCCCCACCCCCCCCCCCCCCCCCCCTCCCCCCCACCCCCCCACCCCTCCCCCCCACTCCCCCCCCCCCCCCCCCCCCCCCCCCCCCCCCCCCCCCCGATAAGGTGGTGGGAGTTTTTCTATTGGGGGACAAAATTAAAACACCTAATCTGTGCAGTCCATGGCAACAGCACTAGCCAGGTGGCCCTAAATCCTCAAGCTCACAATCTCCTGTCTACACCGCCCTAAAATGTTGGGGGGGGGGGGGGGGGGGGGGGGAAGGACAATTTTTTTTTTTTTACGTGTGGCATTCAGTTGTTTGTCAGGAGCAATTGCTATCAAACTAACTTGTCTGTCTTTCTATGGTTTTAAAACATTGACTGTTATTCGGTCAGCATGTTTACTTACTATTGACTTTGGTTTTCCTCTGAAGTCAGAACATAGCTATCTGAGCAGCAAGGAACCAACAGTCTGCATATAAGTCACATCTGTAAAACAGATATGCACACACAATTCAAGCTGTGGAACAATACTAAATTCCAGAAGTGAACTAACAACCAAAACTTTCCGTGAGAAATTACAGCTGGTGAACGCTAAAAAGATTGTGTTCGAATATGTGTTATTTCGGATTTTATGACCTGGATTCTGGATGTGTTACATTTGTGTATGTTTCACCAACAGTCATCGCAGGCTTAGCTCATGACTTTGTGTCCTTTCAATCCACAATCATCGTATGCTTAGCTCATGAGTTTGTGTCCTTTCTATCCACAGTCATTGTATGCTTAGCTCATGAGTTTGTGTCCTTTCTATCCACAGTCATTGTATGCTTAGCTCATGAGTTTGTGTCCTTTCTATTAGTCTAGCTCATGAGTTTGTGTCCTTTCTATCCACAGTCATCGTATGCTTAGCTCATGAGTTTGTGTCCTTTCTATCCACAGTCATTGTATGCTTAGCTCATGACTTTGTGTCCTTTCAATCCACAATCATCGTATGCTTAGCTCATGAGTTTGTGTCCTTTCTATCCACAGTCATTGTATGCTTAGCTCATGAGTTTGTGTCCTTTCTATCCACAGTCATCGTATGCTTAGCTCATGAGTTTGTGTCCTTTCTATCCACAGTCATTGTATGCTTAGCTCATGAGTTTGTGTTTTTTTTTAATCCATAATAATATCATCTTAACTTATAACTTTGTGTCCTTTTTTTAATCCACTTTCATCTCATCTTAGCTCATAATTATTACCTGTTTCATCCACAGCCATCTCATCTTAGCTCTTGGTTTTGTGTTTATTTCATTCACAGTCATCTCATCTTGGCTCATAACTTTTCTGTCTGTCTCATGAATTTGTTTTTATTTTACACACAGGCATCTTATAAGGAGCTCGTAGCTCATGATTTTGTGTCGTTTTCATACACAGTTATATTGTAAGTCATAAGGAACTCTTTGCTCATGACTTTGTGTTTATTTCATTCACAGTCATCTCATAATGAAAAGTAGATCATGGCTGCCTTTATTCACAGTAAGGAACTCTTAGCTTATGACTTTGTCTCATTCTCCACAGTCATGAGGAGTTCCTAGATCTAATTATCTCATATGTTGTACGGAACATTTAGCTTATGACTTTGTATCTCTTTCTTTCACAGTCATCCCGTAAGGAACTTCTGGCTCATGACTTTGAGGGTGTGCTGAAATACTTCCGGGTTCACCTGCCCAAGAAGTATAGAGGAGAGGAGTCAGCTAAAGATCTGATGCGACTGGCTGTCAGCATGAAGGTAGGCTTTCATAAGGTGTCATCATTCTAATTCCATAGTGTGTTTTCTTCTAATGTTTACAAGTACCTCACAGCACTGATGTGTGATGTGGGCTAGTGGGGGGGAAAAATGATATATGTATGCACTTGCCCACACACGTACACACATGCATGTAGATGCATAGAGCTTATTCTAGTGTGTACATATACTTTACAGTGTTGTTCACAAATATATGGATGTAACAGTTTCTAAAACATGATTTAGACAAATTAATCATCGTCGGTCGTAACGGCACACCTGGAAGTCTCTTTATCTCCATTCAGTTCTCCAGCCCTATATGCTTTCATAGCCACTGTATCCTCAGTGTCTGGTATCCACCTTTGCAGAAGTTTGCCCCAGCCTAGTTTTCCAGAAACGGTGCTTTCCTAATATCCTACCCCAAAGTGGAAATCAACAGGTCACAGGACCGTCTGATATTTCAGGGAGTGGTAGAAAGGCTGCATGCAGTCATGGGACCTAGGCTGCACTCTCTCGTGGGACATAGGAGGGTTTAGGTTAGGGCCAGTTCTAGATGTTTTGGGGTCACTAAAAACATCAGAAAGCCGAGAAAATCCAGTCTTACCACCATCTAAAATGTTGGACTGTCCTGTGACGTCATCTGTGGTAGGATTTTACGGAAGAACCCCAGAAATTTTACCCTCCGTCACCGTTTTCTCCAGGCTACCATGTTAAACAAAAAAATGTTCTTTTAAAAAAAAAAAATTTTAGCGCAGAAGGGAGATAACTTAGTATTTGATATATACATAATTGATGATGTTAGGTTACAGGTTATCTTCCTCTCTGCCTGTTGCTTGCCTAACTTGGAGCAGCAGTGCCAGGTTTTTAACTGATACATCTGCTGTTGCAGGTCAACAACCGCAAGCTGAAGAAGTTTGAGAAGGAGTATCTGGCAATACAAGAACAGAATTTACAACAAGAAGACCCCATCGAGAGATACGAGGTTGGTCTTTCTGGAGTCGTGTATATTAGTATGAATCACCATCCCTTTGTGGGATGCAATTTGTCGTTTGTTGAAGCCCTCCTCTGGCTCTTGCCAGGGGCCGCAATATAGCCCGGCCATAAATATGGTCTATTGGCTGAACGCAGTTTCTGGAACCTCTCCACGGGTGATCCTCATCCACCTGGTGGCACTTTGTGTCACCAGGTGTTTATCCCTTGTGTGATGTCTTGGTGGGGTAAAAGAAGATAGAAAGATAGATATACATGTATTTTGTGTTAATAAAGTTTTATATGTATATATATGCACACACACTCATAGTTGGCTGTCAGAAAACAACATTGTGTAATTATTTTTATATTTTAATAATTTCAATAGTTTCTGGCAAGACCAGAACCAGAGTACCCGGTGTTGGGTCGGAATTAATTGGGAAGTTGGGTACGGGGGGGGTGAGGGTGTCCAAATGTTATTCATTCCTGGTTTGAGACAGAGGTGGACAAGAATAGCAAATCTAAAGATGTGCAGAGGACTTGATCTAATTGAGGTTGTGGGATGTTTCCATGTGATAACCCGTAAGGATAACCCAGACAACAAATGCCTAGAGGAAGTTGGTTGGCCAGATGTTCCAATGGACACAATGCAGAAGATGCCTTTACAAGACAGGGCCAATCAAGAAAAATTTTATAAATTTATTACACAGCAAAAAGTCTCCTTTTTGTGTCTAAAATACCTTCTCCTACTTTTTTTTTCCCTATACTACTACTTGTCTTTCTTTCTCTGCTTCCTCCTGTCTTTGTTTTTGTCTGCTTCTTCTTGTCCCATCCTTTTGCATCTTCTTCTCCTCCTATTTCTTCTTCTTTTCCTACTTTTTTTTTCTCTTCTGCCACCACCTTCTTTGTCTTATTCTGCCCCATGGTGTTTCATTGATAAGCAAGATCAGTGGTATCTTTCCATCTGCTTGTTCTCAGTGATAGCAAAGGGGACCATTTATCAAATATTTCCCATTTAATTAGTAGGTGATCAGACACACACATCGCCCACCGAGTGCCCATTGGTCTATAAAATCAAGGTCTAGTCATATATGCCCAATACGCCATAAAGGTGTGGGAAAGGGGTCCTATGCTTTTTTTTTTTTTTTTTAACTGTACCGATCAGATTCACACATTGTAGTGCACAAATTTGTCTCATGGAGCATGAACTAAACAGCTGAAATCTACAGAACTAACTGGGTACAACAAATGGGCTCCTTAGTTTTTGCTCTTATTTGAGGTTTTGAGCAAGGGATCAACATCATAAGTGCTCCGTTTTTCTTCTAACTCAAGTCTGAGTTGAAGAACCAACTGTCCAGCATATGCAATGGCTCTGCAGCACTGGTGAAATCCGAAATACTTTGGGTAAGACAAACAAACTCCAGATTTTGGACTAGGCAGAACTGTCGTTAGAGTTATTCTATTTCGATTTCCAACTATCAAGAGATTTTTTTACATGACACAAGCGTCCAATCTCACTAGAGACGAAAGGGAATTACTAGAAGTCCAAGTCCACGTGAAAAAATCCCAGCCCTTACCAGGGATTGAACCCAGAACCTCTAGCACTCGAGGCGGACACCATGCCTCGAGACCACGCAGCCCCCTTTTCTTATGAATTGGGAATACAGTATTCAGAGTGTGTCTACCTGAGAGGCAAGGAACCAACTGTCCAGATATAAATAAGCCGGATCTGTTAAACCATTGTGTACGTAACAAGACCAAAGTCCAGAAGTGGACAAACAGCCAGAACTTTCCACCAGAGTTTACAATATTTTGATGTATATTGTTTTGAATATGATATTATTGTAACATTTGTGTACATTGTTTGTCAAACAGAGAGAGAATAAGCGACTAATTGAGGCAAACATGAGATTGGAACAAGAGAATGATGACCTAGCCCATGAACTGGTGGACAGCAAACTCTTTCTCAAGAGCCAGATAGATACTGTAAGTTTGCTCATTAGATACAACAGTTGTCAAAGCAGTAGAATTGCTTTGTTTTTTAGAGGGTTGTTTCACCGCATCTGCCAGCAAACTGAAGTGAAAACTTTGAGATTGTGCATTTTTGCGGCTCATGGATGTGAGTCGTGAACTCTTACTCAGCCGTTGAAGCAAAGAGGGGGAGCATTTGAACTGAAATGCTGCAGAAAAATTCTTAGAATACAGTGGACCAAGAAGGAAAAAAATCACTGCATGATTGGAGCATCGAGGAGAATTGGCTCATAAGCAGCATCCTGCCCTGAAAGCTGGGGTACTGTGGCCATGTTAACCATTATGGTGGTCCTGCGAGAACAGAGATGACGTGTAGTTTCTGGAAAATGAGGCAGATGCAGGCCGCCATTAAGGTAGATTCAAGACATTGAAGATGTGCTTTAAAAGCACATAAGACTGGAGTATTGGCTGTAGTAAGTTATAACCACGGAAAAGATTTTCTGAAACACTTGAACAGAACAGACCAAGTCACAGTTTTTCGCTTACGCACTGGACACTGCAGACTCAATAAACTCTCACATAAATTAGGTATGAGCCAAACAGCTCTCTGCCAGTGCCTTCGTGCTGAACAGACTCCAGAACATGTCCTGCAAGACTGTCCTCTCCTGGCGGAGCTGCGGAGCGACACATGGCAACACCCAGTAGAACTGACAACTAAGCTTTGGGGAAACCTAAGAGACCTTGAAAAGACATCCCAGTTTATGACCCACAGTGGATTATGCGCATGATCAGAGATCGCTGAAGAAGAAGAGGCTGTAGTAAGAGAAACTTTCTTGCCTTCTGTGACAAGTGTGATGTTCTGGAAAGGCCTGCCGATTGAGGATGATTAGTTATTTAAAATACACAGAGCTACGTTGTAAAGTAGTGTGATTAATGTATCAGTGCAAGTTAAAGGTTAAAGTTTAGAGGATCGGCTTCGTTGCACCAGGTTTTATTCTATATGGTTTGGTCTTTCTCCGCAGAACAGCTAGCTGCCTGCCGAGAGCGCAAACTCCATAGCTCCGGTGACGATCCCCAGGGATGTCCTTACAAATTGCACTCGTGAAATGAAGGGCACAGCCGTGAAACGAACCCATGACCTTCAGAGCGCGAGGCAAACGGCTTGAGAGGCACCTGAGAATACTGAGCCTGTGCTACAGATATGCTCTCCACATGCAGTAGAGAGGTCTCAGGTCTGGCCAGCTGGCATTCCTATCATAACCAAGCTGTACTGAGTTGAGTCAAAAATTGACATCACAGCACTCGGGGCATTCCCATGTGTGCTTCGTTCTCATCTTCAGCAGCCAGCACAGAGTTCCAATACTGAGTGATTAGTGAGGATTAACATCATAGCACTCCGGACAGATCCATAGGTGCTTGAGCTCCACAAGTGTAAAGCGACTGATGACGCCTGTTCAGTGTTGGTTAATAAAACATCTTGTCCCCTTAGTGAAATGTTCATTGCAGCTCCAGGCTGCACCCCCATGTCCATCAGTCTAGACAGGAATACGGAGTCACTTCCTTTGGCCTGCTCCTCGGTACGGTAAGTGCAGTGAAAAACCAAGCTGTATGTAACAGTAGAAGACATGCATGGCACCAGAGACTTCAAAAAGACCTGTTGCCTTCTCATTAGGAAAAGCACTAGCAGGAGGAATGAAAAGAAGAAGAAATTAATTAACATAAAGTGTATTTAGACACACTATCAGTTTACTGTGTTAAGAGTTGTATGTGTGTTTCTGTATGTCGCTACCAGCTAGAGGATAGATGCAGTGAGCTGGAGAGGGACCTGACGCAGGCCACAAAACATTTGAAAGAATCTGAGGATGAGAAAAGGAGACTAGAAGCGGAGTCTAAATCTGTAAGTTTTCTTGGGTTTACACGTAACAGGATTAATCCTTTCACCAAGTAGAATCTAAATCTATAGGTTTTCTTGTGTTTACACGTGTCAGTATTAACCCTTTCACCCAGTAGACTCTAAATCTATAGGTTTTCTTGTGTTTATACATGACATTATTAACCCTTTCATCCAGTAGAATCTAAATCTATAGGTTTTCTTGTGTTTATACATGACAGTATTAACCCTTTCACCCAGTAGACTCTAAATCTATAGGTTTTCTTTTGTTTATACATGACAGTATTAACCCTTTCAGCGGCGTCTGTGGCTAAGGCGTTGCCAGTCCGACTCGTGAGCCAGCATACCGCGATCGAAACCCACTGCAGGCTGCGTGGATTTTTGTTGTGGTATGGGACGTCGCAGGTGGACCCAGCCTAAAATGGGTACCAGGATGGGCTGTCCTGGGAAAGTAAAGACAGCCGGCGTAATGCTGACCACATTACCCACAGAGTGCTGATGGTCTGTAAAAATATGGGACGCTCTGCCCATATGCCCGATGCGCCGAAAGGCGTGAAAAGGGATCTTTACTTTTACTATTGACCCTTTCACCCAGTAGACTCTAAATCTATAAGTTTTCTTTTGTTTATACATGACAGTATTAACCCTTTCATCCAGCGGACTCTAAATCTATAGGTTTTCTTGTGTTTACAAATAACTTCTTCTTCGCGTTCACTAGCTGTAAACACTGGTGGAAAGTTCTAGTTGTTCGTCCACTTCTGGACTGCAGTCCTGTTCCAGAACCTGAGTGTTGCGTGTGCATCCGTTCTACAGATCTGACTCAATGGTATGCAGACTGCTGGTTCCTTGCCTCTCAAGCAGATGCACTCCGACTTTGAAGGAAGCTCCCAATTAGTAGACTCTTAGGACATGCTTTTGGGTAGGCAGTGGGTCTATTCTTGTTTTCCCTATTACAGGGCCCTGGAACCTACACGGGGAGTTTACACATAACAGTATTAACCCTTTCACCCAGCAAAATCTTAAATATGGTTAAGTTAGTTATGTATCCTTTACAGGACGTTGCAGAACCAATCACAGAATTTTAGGCTGTTGTAGTTTTTCTAGGCAGAGTTTATGTTCAGTAGTTTGCCGTTGCTTTCTGAACGGTTAGCTCTCGGTACCACTGTCGAAACCAACACAAGATGATCTGCTGTCATATCGCCTGTAGCTAGAATCGAACCCGGCATTACGAAGCACGTTTGTAACACCTTGTCACAGAAACTGACAGGATATGGATACACTTAAAGCAGCATTTAAGGGGTTTCCGTATGAATCAAAAAGCTTTTATAAAGCCGTGTTGATGGGCAACTCTCCCTGTAGCCTCTGTTATGAAGGTCACTGGCTAAGGGCATAAGTCACCCAATACAATTTTTTTTTTAGTCCCTGGAGAATGTGTTCTATTTAGTGCTTGGTTCTGTTCACGTTTACTGATGACTATGTTTATATATCTTTATATATTTCAACAACAAGAACAAACAGTTTAAAACTTGTCGACAGGTAGACACATTTTTAATATATTTATTAGTGACCTATATAAAATGATTGCTTTTTAAAGAATTTTTTTCTGGGAAAACCACTGGTTTGTGCCCCCCCCCACCCCACCCCCTTTTTAAGCATTTCAAGTGCCACTAGGTTAAAATATGTAATGAGCTCTATTTTCAGTGCATTTCATAGATTGTACACAAACAGTTTGCAAGAAAACACACTTGAGGCATTACTTTCTGATTGCCGCTGGTATTTCTTCCTTGACAGCTGAAAGAGATGTGTCGCAGGGAACTGGAGAGGTCAGAAACAGAGTCCAAGAGAAACATTGCTATCATTGCTGATTATAAACAGGTGCGTACTGAAGCCATGCTAGTTGTCACGGTGATATATATGTACAGTAAGTAAAGGATCCTGTTTCACTCCTTTAGGCGAATTGGGCATATATATTTATATAATGCATGTAATCAACACCTATAGCTGTGATGGAGAAGGTGGAGATGACCCAACACTGACACAGTGCATTCCATATGAAAAACAGCTCACAGTGCTACATCAAGCATCGAACTCAGTAGCTTAGGCAGAGAAACTAGACTTCTGTCTATATGTGGAATCTGCATAAGCAAAGCACCATCAGAAGCAAAAATAACTTTGAGGCTAAACATTCTGCAATCGAATCTGAAAAATTATCTGGTATATGAAAACTGTTGTCTGACCGGTGTAAGGTAGCTATGCAGTGGGTTCTTTCCCACTGTGGAGTTTCCAGAAATGAAAGAGCTGATAAACTAGCTAAGGAGGGTGTAAACGAAGAACAACCTGATGTACCAGTCTTACCAGTAGAAGAAGAAAAGCCGCCAAAACTTGCAAATGATGATTACCGAAGGATGGACTGATCAGAGCAAGTTATTATTTTATACCTTAGAACATGACAAGGTCGACTTCACAGCCACATGTACACAAAATTTAAGACTGGCAAATCAGCCTTGTGTACATGTGGACTGGCACCTGAGACAACAGATCATATCCTCTAAGACTGTCCCAAATACAACATATCAAGGCAACACTTTTTGCCAAGAGAAACATCGGTGCAAGTCAAACTTTACGGGTCGCTGAGTGAATGACAAAAGACAGTGAAGTTTCATACTAGAGACAACAGTGCAGATACAGATAATCTATTTCAAGAGAAAGAAAGAAGAAGAAGGTTACATATGGTATTTCGCTAGCCCACACGTAAACCAGCTACCTGCCATACTAAATACCATGGTACAGCTACTACAGAAATGAAAGACATTCCGTATGAAATACAGCTCACAGTGCTACATCAAGCATTTAACTCAATAGCTTAGGCAGCTAAACCGTAGACTTCCATATATATGTGGAAACCACATACGCAAAGTGCTCAAATAACTTTGAGGCTAAACATTGTGCCATGCCTATCCTCCGTATTGGGCCGAACTGAGATGTTGGTGATCTGAATAATTACTGCCATTATTTGCTGAGATGTTGGGAATCTACATAATTATCTTGAGTTTATGTGTTACTGTAACAGAAGAAAAGAATTGTAACATTGAAACTTACCATGCATGTTGTAAGAGGCAGTTGAGGAGGATTGGCACAGCACATTGTGTAGAAAACTAAGGTCACATCCAGTCAACCAGGAACAGTTCTACAGAAGGCTTGCCATGAGCTGGAGGGCCTAGATTACAGTGTGAAGTAAGGGATGAAAGATGACAAGTACTAGACTGTGATTAAGTGTGAACTTGCTGGAGGGCCTAGATTACAGTGTGAAGTAAGGGGTGAAAGATGACAAGTACTAGACTGTGATTAAGTGTGAACTTGCTGGAGGGCCTAGATTACAGTGTGAAGTAAGGGGTGAAAGATGACAAGTACTAGACTGTGATTAAGTGTGAACTTGCTGGAGGGCCTAGATTACAGTGTGAAGTAAGGGGTGAAAGATGACAAGTACTAGACTATGATTAAGTGTGAACTTGCTGGAGGGCCTAGATTCCAGTGTGAAGTAAGGGGTGAAAGATGACAAGTACTAGACTGTGATTAAGTGTGAACTTGCTGGAGAGCCTAGATTCCAGTGTGAAGTAAGGGGTGAAAGATGACAAGTACTAGACTGTGATTGAGTGTTAACTTGTACTGTTTCAGATTTGCACCCAGTTGAGTGAAAGATTGGAAAAACAGCAGTCTCTGTTCAAGGAAGAGTTACAGAACATAAAAGTAAGATTGAAAGAATGAGAATATGTATGTTTGAGAGAGAGTTTATTTAAGTGGTATCTGTAATAAAAATGCTCTACCTCTTCCTTCCTCTCTTTTCCCTCCCCTTTCTGTCCTTCTATCTCTCTCTGTCTCTCTCACATACTTTTTTTATTCTCCTGTATTTGTCCAGCATTTAATTATTATTTATGTGTGTGTGTGTGGCTGCAAAGTTATGAGTTAGATTATCTTCACAGCCCTGCAGACGCATCCATAGGTGCTTAAATTCCCCTCTCAACATATTCATCAGCGTCGTGCAGTTAATAGTGCCAGTCCTGTGTTGATTCACAAGACTTCATGTGCTTCTCATGCTTGTCTGTGCCGATCTTTACTCCCAATTCTTGTGTATTCTCCTGTACACAGGAGAATGTGAGATTGGTTGCTTTATGTGCTGGTTTCCACTCCTCACCTGGATGAATATCTGTAAGGCTGCAAACCTGCATGATGTCATACTCTGCCCTACCCAGCCATGATTTGCCCCTTTGACGCCTATTGCCCTTTTTCTTGAAGAGCATGTGGTGACATGGGTGCTTCAAATCTGAGCGTGTGTGTGCGCATGCGCACACAATCTTCTAACCGACCATGTGAACAAAAACTAAATCATTAGTGCCCGTACACACATCAACGCAAGCTTCTAACCAACCATACAAACAATAACTAGATCATTAGTGCCCGTACACACATCAACACTAGCTTCTAACCAACCATAAAAACAATAGTTTGTGCCAATACACACTTCAACACAATCTTCTAACCAACCATACTAACAGTAACTAGTTTGTACCCGTACACACATCAACACAAGCTTCTAACCAGCCATACAAACAATAACTAGTTTGTACCCGTACACACATCAACACAAGCTTCTAACCAGCCATACAAACAATAACTAGTTTGTACCCGTACATACATCAACACAAGCTTCTAACCAGCCATACAAACAATAACTAGTTTGTACCCGTACACACATCAACACAAGCTTCTAACCAGCCATACAAACAATAACTAGTTTGTACCCGTACATACATCAACACAAGCTTCTAACCAGCCATACAAACAATAACTAGTTTGTACCCGTACACACATCAACACAAGCTTCTAACCAACCATACTAACAATAACTAGTTTGTACCCGTACACACATCAACACAAGCTTCTAACCAGCCATACAAACAATAACTAGTTTGTACCCGTACACACATCAACACAAGCTTCTAACCAGCCATACAAACAATAACTAGTTTGTACCCGTACACACATCAACACAAACTTCTAACCAGCCATACAAACATGCACAAGCATGTCATATAAGGTGACCAAATAAGATTTTGCTGAAATCATAAGTGAGTGATCAAAACGGGCAGATACAGCAGCCTTACTGTAAACCACAATACAGCGTGCCAACCATAGTTTTAAGGGCCAACGCAAAAGAGACATAGTATTTATGTTGTGTGTTGAAATAAAAGCTGTGATATGGATACCCATCAGCCTGCACGTGGTAATGTTTCCTGGCTTTTATTATAAGGTTATAAAGTCCAAGCAGCCGGCCAATGTAGTATCTAAGAAAATTTCCTGGTCTCATTGTGGGAATGTCATTGACATCCATTCCATCTACAGGTAGGGCACCCCCGCCCCCTTTTCTGTCAACCATGTCCGACGTTGATTTGGTCTTTTAATGTGTCTGTTTAATTTATTTTTTTTGTGTGTTTGAAGTCTCAGATGAAGTCTTGTGAGAAATGCTGCTCTGTGTTCGATGGAGACAAGATCCGACTGGCGGACAACTCCAAGGAGAAGAATGATAACCCTGACATCAGAGAGCTGCAGGCACAAGTATGTCAGCCAGTTTATGTGTGTAGTTAGCTAGTTAGTTAAAACGTTACAATGGGTATAGAGTGAGTGTCAGACCTTGGGAAAGATGGAGTGATGGCATTAAGAACAGCTTTACAGAAATGAATATCGGTCTTAATAATGCTTTTGACAGAGCTCATCAACGAATGTTGAATCTCCCCCCAACACTTCACTGGAAGAGAAGAAGAAGAAGAAGTTTAGTTAGGTGACAAATCATTGTCATTGCACACTGAACCCCCGACTCCAAGAAAGATGTCACATAAGAGTCAACAAATTAGGTTTCTTTTCTTATAAAACTGGAGTGCATCTGCCTCGGAGATGACGAACCAATAGTCTGCACACAAAATTTAATTGATGTGCACACAAAACTCAGATTCTGGAACAGGATTAAAGTCCAGAAGTGGATGAACATTCATTAAAAAAAGAAGAAGAACCTACAAAACTTGTTTGATGTGTAATTACGAACACTTTCTGCTTGAATTCTTCAGGTGATTTTTATAGTAAAGGGGCTGGAGCTACAGAGTTCATGCTTTGTGCAGCACTCTTGGCATTCAGTCAGCCACCATGTGGCTGTGACCAACATGGTTTGTATTGTAACTGCAAATTCAGAAAATGGCAAGTGGCATGTTGCCTGAAAACGTACCTTATGCGTTTATTGCGTGTGCAGCTACTGATCTGTTGTAACTGCGGCTTCCATCAACGATGAACTGCATTTCTAGTATCGGATTGTTTGTGTTGGCACTTCTGGCCGCCTTATGAATTTAATGCATGTTTATGCTGTCTGAACTGCTAAGATTGCAGTCTGTGTCAATTTGTTCACAAGGGAAAGTGATGTATGTTAAGTGTGGTTGTTGCTGGCACAGAAACGGAGAAACTATGGGGTGTTCCGTCTGCTGGGAAGTTGGAACCATAGATTAACTGACTACTTGATTACCAGATTATATGCTTTAGGTGGTTGCATGGTCTCGAGGCATGGTGTTCACCTCAAGTGCTAGAGGTTCCAGGTTCAGTCCCCAGTAAAGGCTGGGCATTTTTTTTACGTGGACTTGGACTTCTAGTAATTCCCCCTGGTCTCTGGGTAGTGAGATCGAACGTCCGTGTGCATTGTTGCACATGTAAAAAAAATCCCTTGGCAGTTGGAAATCTGAATTGAGTAGCCCAACGGCCTTGCCTGGGCAAAATTTGGAGTTCAAAATCTACCCAAAGTATTTCAGGATTTTTGCGGGTGCTACAGAGTCTGTGCACTGTGCTGAGCTTTTTCAGACTCAGACTTGTTAGAAGAACGGATCACTTACGGGTTACTGTTGATCCATTGTTCAAAACCTCAAATTAAACGTTTTCACTTTTCTGACCAGATTCGAGAACTGGAGTTGGAACTGGCCCAAACCAAGCTGGCGCTTGTGGAGTCCGAGTGCAAAACTCAAGACCTCACACACCAACTGAATGCTGCTGTCACCGAAATCACAGCCAACAAAAATACCTGGTTCCATAAGACACTGAGTTCTATCAGAGATGTTGCCAGTAACAAAAAAGAACCCAAAGATTGATTCTCCTCGAAGCTGTCATGATGTTGTAACTTTCATCAGCTGTTGAGAAACTGTTGTTGCTTTTTGCATAGTCCCAGGAATTTTGCAGTCTGCTGGAGTAACTGAGTTTTGTTTCAAGTCTTTCTTGATTTAATCGTCGTTCCTCTCCTTTCTAAGTTGTGGAGGAAACCGAGACGGCATGGACAGGGACAGTTGACAGACGTGTGTACAAACAATGCTACAGAACAAATGTTATCAAGTGCTATGAGCATATCTGTTTCGATGATGATGATGATGATATTAACTCTCCATCCCAGTAAGGTCATAGTTGATGCCGCAGTGAGTTTACTTGTGACATCAACAACATAATGTCTATACTACATCGCAGGGCCCAAATATATATATCCCTTGTGGGGGACACGTGTTTTTGAGTGTTTTAGGATACCCTGTGTAAAATGTACAAGCATAATAATGTGTTAACTGGTGCATATGAGTCAATCCAGTCATATGTGGTGTGTTGTTTGGGGCTGGAAGAGTTCGGGTATAAGGCAACCCCATGGCAGACACTGCTATTGGGTGGGTGCCTTCACATTGATTAGGTCCTGGCATACTGAGATGAGTTGATCTATCCCTTCCTTGCCATCTTTTTAGTGAATTCATTTGGTAATCTGTGGAGGCGGGAAAGGGACAGGGGTGGGGGAGGGACCACACATTCTCTTTGTTTCTCCATCTATCACTTCCTTGCCATCTGTACTTCCCATGTTCTTTTCAGTGAATCGATTTGGTAATCTGTGTGGGGGGAGGGACCACACATTCTCTCTGTCTCTCCATCTATCACTTCCTTGCCATCTGTACTTCCCGTTTTTCTTTTCAGTGAATTGATTTGGTAATCTGTGTGGGAGGGTGGGAGGCGGGACCACACATTCTCTCTGTCTCTCCATCTGTCACTTCCTTGCCATCTTTACTTCCCATGTCATTTCCAGAGAATAGATCTGGTAATCATTTGTGATTGAATGGGAAGAGAGTCCTAGACAGAGTTAGTAACACAACACACAAACACGCACACACCCTCTCTCTATTTCTCTTTGTCTATTTTGCTGTGGTAGTGTGAAAGAAACGCATGAAAAGGCTGGATGCATTATGACACTTTAAAGGTAAATTCTGTAGATTCTGTCTCTCTCTGTCTCTCTCTCTCTTTCAAAGCCTTATTCCCACTGCTAGGGATTGAACTGGATACACTGAGCTAGAGAGAAAGGAAAATTAACCACTGTGCCGCTGCAGCTCAAGATGGTGGTGAGTACATCTGCACAGTCTTGACTGTCGCAGACCAGGATCAATATGGCTGCTTGTAGGGGAGACATCAACTCCCGCACTCACATTTACAGTTAAAACTACAGTCATTGGACTCACATTTTTTATAGAACAATCTGCTGCACTCAGTGGATCATTCACATGGTTGACTGTAGCTAGTTGTGTATGCATTCCTGAACATCAAGCTAGACATTCCTGTGTATTGTAGAAGCTGTTGGATTTGTTCTGTCTTGTTACTGTTCGTATGGTTGGTTAGAAACTTGTGTTAAGTGTGTACGGGTACAACCTAGTTATTGTTTGTATGGTTGGTTAGAAGCTTGTGTTGATGTGTGTACGGGTACAAACTAGTTATTGTTTGTATGGTTGGTTAAAAACTTGTGTTAAGTGTGTACGGGTACAAACTAGTTATTGTTTGTATGGTTGGTTAGAAACTTGTGTTAAGTGTGTACGGGTACAAACTAGTTATTCTTTGTATGGTTGGTTAGAAACTTGTGTTAAGTGTGTACGGGTACAACCTAGTTATTGTTTGTATGGTTGGTTAGAAGCTTGTGTTGATGTGTGTACGGGTACAAACTAGTTATTGTTTGTATGGTTGGTTAAAAACTTGTGTTAAGTGTGTACGGGTACAAACTAGTTATTGTTTGTATGGTTGGTTAGAAACTTGTGTTAAGTGTGTACGGGTACAAACTAGTTATTGTTTGTATGGTTGGTTAGAAGCTTGTGTTGATGTGTGTACAGGTACAAACTAGTTATTGTTTGTATGGCTGGTTAGAAGCGTGTGTTGATGTGTGTACGGGTACAAACTAGTTATTGTTTGTATGGTTGGTTAGAAGCTTGTGTTGAAGTGTGTATTGGCACAAACTATTGTTTTTATGGTTGGTTAGAAGCTAGTGTTGATGTGTGTACGGGCACTAATGATTTCTAGTTTATTGTTTGTAGCTCCACAATGTAGAAGCGTTGATGGTGTGGTAAGAAGCTTGTGTTGAAGTGTGTGTGTTACGGGCACTAAAATCTATTGTTTTTTATGGTTGGTTAGAAGCTAGTGTTGATGTGTGTACGGGCACTAATGATTTAGTTTTTGTTCACATGGTCGGTTAGAAGCTTGTGTTGAAGTGTGTATGGCCACTGGGTAATTGATACTATAAAATTTTGTTTCACAAAGATAACTGATTGCTCACATCAAAAAGGAGACAGTCTATCTTCTTTAGTCATGTCTTGAGAAGGAGAAAACTGGAGTACATCATGATTCATGATGGCTGGAAAGTTGGAAGGTAAAAGAGGCTGGGAGACCAAGAGTTAAGATACTGGACATTTTGACATCATAGCATGGAAGACCATCTGTGTCAGAATTGATTGAAAGTACACAAGACAGAACAATGTAGATAGACATGACTACTAAAGTTACACAGTTGGGACTATAAGAAGAAGAGGTTTGTGTTTGCCGTTGGTTACAAGCTTGTATTGCAGTGTGTATGACCACTGGATAATTATACATCTAATTTGTGTCTTATTTGAATATAATGACTTGAACGACTGAATTTCTTTTATGTGATCCTATGCTCATATGTTATTTCAGTAACAATGTTTAGTATAACATAATATATATTTCTCAGTGGCATTGTTGTGTTGGAAAGTAATGTCACTCATCATACAGTTTATTAATGAGCAACAGATGAGAATGGTTTGGCCATCTAACAGGAATGCCCTGGTACCAACTGTCACAGAGAGCCAGGCTGGAGAGTTCTAATGGAAACGGGGCAGGGGGAGGTGACCTTGCAAAAGATGGAATGATGGTGATGAGAACAAACTTATAGAAATTAGGACACAGTAGGCTTCTTGCCCTCCCCCCTTTTCCTCAGCTGTAGTAACTGAAGTGGCGCTGAGGAAGCAGAAGAATAGTTCAGAGATGTTGAGACTACATTTAAGAATGTAGCTCAGAGATGTTGAGTCTACATTTTAAAATGTAGTCCAGGGATGTTGAGACTACATTTAAGAATGTAGCTCAGAGATGTTGAGACTACATTTTAAAATGTAGTCCAACATTTAAGAATGTAGCTCAGAGATGTTGAGACTACATTTTAAAATGTAGTCCAGGGATGTTAAGTCTACATTTTAAAATGTAGTCCAGGGATGTTGAGTCTACAT